TGAAAGACAGCCAGAATATACACCTAGAGAATGCAATCATATTGGTTTGATTATGTTAAAACAGTAATGTTAAAAGCTCATATTAGTTTGGTGTCTATTCATAATCTTAAAGCTTTTTATGTAATTGCAGAAAAAATATGTTGAAAAAAAGATTACAAAGTTCAATTATTCGAACGGGATCAACATAGACACACAGGATAATGAGCTACCAATCATATCATTTCAGACATGTCCACAGCAAAAGTCAAATTCGTAACTACTCGTTGTTCAAATGCAATCGTTGTTTTTAAAAACCATCGAAACATATTAACAATTGGAGTTAATACAGGGTTGCATATGGTTTGCATGTATGTTATATAATGAAAAAACTTACAAAAGGAGAAGAGATTGAGGAAAGATTAACAGCAAGAAAGCTGACCGAGTTCCAAGTTGAAATGGTATAATTGTTTCTCAACCATCCAAATTCTTGGAATGAAGAAGATCTAAAAATTCGTAGGAAATTGAAGAAAAAATTTGCAAATAAATAACAAAGTTTCATTGCTCATGTACTTTACAATTGATTATTAGTGTAAGATGAGACATCTGTTTGTGTGATATTGTTGTGTGGTGAGTGGTGATTGGTGAATATCCAAAATGTGCAAGGATACATATATTTTATTCCTTGTTGATTAATGGAGACTATGTTAAAGTGTAACAGGGTAACATTGAAAATGTAACACTTTCACAATATCTCAACAAATGAACATTAGTGTAAGATGATACATAGATGTACATATTCTGTTTGTGACATTGTTGTGTGGTGAGTGGTGATTGGTGATTATCCTGACTGTGTAGGGATATAGATGTTTATTCCTTATTGATTAATCAAGACCATGTCAAGGTGTAACATAAAAAATGTAATGGTGTAACATTTTCACACTTTGACAACAAATGATTATTAGTGTAAGAGGAGACATGGATGTACATATTCTGTTTGTGTGATATTGTGGTGATTGGTGATTATACATACTGTTCAGGGAAACATGTGTTTATTCCTTGTTGATTAATTGAGACTATGTCAAAATGTAAAATAGAAAAGTGTAACAGGGTAACATTGAAAGTGTAACACTTTCACACTTTCTCAACAAATGAACAGTAGTGTACCATGAGACATGGATGTACATATTTTGTTTCTGTGACATTGTTGTGTGGTGATTGGTGATTATCCAAATTGTGCATGGATGCAAGTGTTTATTTCTTATTGATTAATCAAGACCATGTCAAAGTGTAACATAGAAAATGTAATAGTGCAACATTCAAAGTGTAACACTTTCACATGTATCCAACACACTGTTCCAACAGTGTGTTAATTCACTATACAAACCAATGTGGGTTGTATACAGACTAATCTATTAAAAAAATATAATTTACATTGTGAAAAATTAGCTAAAACAAACAAATCCAACAAAGGAGTGAAAAAACACATTGTAAACAATTTAAAACATTGAACAATGTCATTAAATGATAACATTACCATAACGTCAACCACAATATTTTAAATATAAATGGGTCTTTGGTCAAATGGTACTTCTTGTCTTGTAAAGGCTTTGCCTTCTTAAGGTCAAGAGTTCAAGTCCCCCTCTTCCTTCCTCGTAAAGAAAAATAAATAAATAAATGATAGCATTAAAACTAGTCTACAACGGCTCGTTACAAGATTTTTTGTTGTGACTACCCAAACGTCCACACCGACCACAACGAATTCGCCTAATGAGTTCTCCCCTAGACCAAATTCTACGATTCTTTGGTTTACCAGGTTGCTTCTTGATAGATGGTGGCAAAATATTAACATTTACAGGTGAACTTTCATCACGATATATAGTTGGTATTGAATAAATGGGTTTAGAATATGACATATTGTATGTGCTGATATGATAGTAATAATCAACAAATACGTTGATATTTCGCCTACTCTTTCGTATTGCCAACATCACATGTGAATAAGGAAACCCATTTATTTGCCACTGACAACATGAACACGTGTCATTCATAATATCAATAGTGATCGAGGGATATGATATCACTTCATACACTTGGTCATTCAAAACCCGCATAGTCTAGGACCTCCCTTCTTCAAATGCAGCTTGTAATATCGAAGACATATTAGGAAAAAAATTCTCATTTCATTCCGAAGTTATTTTCATCCTTTGGCCAATTTGATTCATTATATGTCCCCTAATTGTGTCAACCATGCTAGTAATAGGTAAATGTTGAGCTTTCAAAATCCACACGTTAAACGATTCTACAACATTAGAACATATATCACGGTAATACTTCCTTATAAAATGAGAATTTGTCCAATGTTTATATGAAAGATTGGACAGGAACCTGTTCACATTAGAACCACCTTCACGATGGAAAGCTTTAATCTTCTCATTAAAAAGTGATTGTGTTAGTGCATAAGCACACTCACGTAACAATCTCACCATGTGTTCTCGAAATAAATTGAAAAAACAAGCCCCACTCAATTTATCCCGCAAATTAGCTTTCAAATGCTGCAAACAAAATGCATGGTGTGCATTTTGAAAAATTTTCGACATTGCTTCTAACAAAACCAAGTTGCAATCATACAAATGTAATAACTCAAAACTGATCTAATATATTAGACAACTGTTTTAAAAACCAATACTAGTTTGCTTTATTCTCCGGATCAACCATAGCAAATGCCAAAGGAAACAAACTTTAGAAATGAAGCACATAAATATTTGTGAAAAATTAAAATAAAAAATAGTGTAACAGATGAATATGGTGAATGGTAATTCCAAAACATTGCTGTGTGTGAATGTTAATTATCAAAATTGTGTTTGATTATACCATGTGTATATACTCACTATTAACTATGTTTGTATCATAGTGTAACAGTGAAAGTGTAACAATATAACAAACAGAGTGTAACAAAAATAATATAACATAACGATTATAGCTTAACTACAAATTTTATCATTCAAAAAACTGTATTAAACTATATTTTGGTTGACATCTTTTCCTGTAACCGATAGAAGATTATCTCTATACATGTCTTTCAAAAATGTGTCATCCATAAATACAACCCTTAAAGGAAACAAACAGCCTTTTGAAACAATTAGTGTCATGATCACAATCTAACACAATGTGGCTGTCCGAATTAGTACAATTGGCCGCATCAACATTCGAATGTAATTGTTGGTACGATAATGAATGATCCCCAAAAAGTATAACTTTTGCTTTCTCAACTGCTTCCCATACTTTCTCAACTCTTTCCCATGCTTTATCATAATCAGAAAAAAAATTAGTAACCACTTCTATTGAATGCGTTGTGCTATGCCCACGCACATAATCAACAATCAAATCTGTATTTAATTTAGAACTCATTTTCTTGTTATCTGTCGTTCGTAGATCTACATCACAACTGTGTTTGTTGTCTAATTTCCTAATATAAAAAAATCAATAGCTTTCTCCACTGTTGCATTGATATGTCACCCACAACCAGAAAGAATACTTAAATAAACACTGAGAAATAACCCCTATTTTATAATTTTTTACATAATTAAATTCAAAACCAGACTCAATCGAATATTTGTAAAGTGCTTGACGAAACTGTACCACACCACTTTCAAATTTTTGTCTTACGTGCCGTATTTCATTACTTCACCCAGCTGTTAGAAGAACTTTCTCATTGTGACCAATAAAATTGGGTAACAAATCTTCTTCACATTCAACAACATCATCAATGTTCACATGCTGCAATAAATCATTATCACCCACCGACCCGCCTCAATATCTCCAACAAACACCTTAACTTCAATTTAATTTTCTGAAAAACTCCGTTTCAATTCAACTAAATTCTTCAAATCTGCATCATTGCGCAACATGCAAGAGGGGTGACCAAGAATAAAATCTGTACTGACAAATTAAACAATTTTTCCCACGTCTCGCAAACTTCATGAACAAGTTATGATATATTTGAATTACCAGCTACTTTAAATATTTTAGTAGCATTACCGTATATACATAACAACAACACCATTTCCTCAATTGCCAAAATCTCTCAAACTATTAAAAGAATATATACAACAAAATTCAAATGAAAAACATACATAGAAAGAAATAAATACTAAAAAACATTTATACATTAGTATGTTAATATGTTAACATACTAAAAAAAATGAAAACTTCAAACTTTGTAATTGTTGTTATGTAATTGTTAGGCTTCAGGTTGTAGCTGGAAAAAATGTTCTGCTTCTTCATCCTTCAGACTTCATGATATATCATATTTATCATGTGGATGAAGAAAGAACATCGGCTTGCAGGTGTATAAAGAAGAAGTAGAAAATCGACTTCAGGCTTGAAGAAGAAAATCGGCTTACAGGTAGATGAAGAAGAAGCATCAATTAACTTCAATATTTAAGCATAAAACTCGGCTTCATGCAGAAATATACTAGTGTATATTTCTCTCTTAAAAAACTAGAAATAATGGTGTATTCAAAATTTGAAATTTTTTAAAAATTGTTATATTTCTCCCCAAAAAATATAATTTGAAAACTAAACACTTTCCCCCCAAAAAATACACATTGACCAATAAAGGACAAAAATGTCACAATAAAATCAGGAAAATTCAAATATTGTACTTGGATACAAATAAGTATCAAAATTAAAAACTTAAGAACCCTATATTTTTTACTGTGTACTTTTATACAATTAAACCTAATTTTGTGTACCCTTTGCAATTTCCCCTAAAAACTTCAATGTTGGACGTCTTAGCGACTGGGCTGGTGGACCGGCCTTCGATCCAGCCCATGGACTGAACCGTGTCACGATTACTCAACCCCAATGCCTATTTATTTTGAACTGGCCAATTATCGGGCTTGAATTTTTACCCAACCCAAAGAGCCTATGAAATAAAGAGAGGGTCCGGTCAGATACATTTCCCGATACCAAGCCTGTTTGATTCCTGTTATATCCACAAGACCACACAGAAGCAAGGGGAGAGAGAGAGAGAGAGTGAGATTCCGATCCATATTGGGCCGCTAGTCGCCGCATCGGTCGAGCATCAACGAGAGAGAGGAAGAGAGAAACCGCAGTGCTGTCCTCCTCTCTGAGGAAGACGTAGAACCAAAGGAGCTAGAAGGGGCCTCCTTTGAGGGACCAAGAAAATCTAAGCAAAGATGAGGATTATGATAAAAGGAGGTGTTTGGAAGAACACTGAAGATGAAATCCTCAAAGCGGCGGTGATGAAATATGGGAAGAATCAGTGGGCTCGGATTTCTTCCCTTCTCGTTCGCAAGTCCGCCAAACAGTGCAAGGCTCGCTGGTACGAGTGGCTCGATCCTTCAATCAAGAAGGTATGTGTTTCTTTTATGAATTTAGTAATTTATAGTTAGACACTCCTTATTTTTGATGTTTGTGTTAATTTCTGTGGTTTTAGTGGTTCTATTGATGTTATCTTTTGTGGTTTTGGTGGAGATTTTGTTGGGTACTTGTAACTAATGCTGGGTTTTGCTTCTCTTGTGCCACGTGTAGTAATTGTCGATGCTATGTTTTTCAATTCTAATATTGCATATAATTTACTAAAACAGTCATAGTTAAGTGAAGACAACATTTAGTTAAAATAAGTCAAAGGATTGAATCATTATCTCACTGTGATATGCACTCGGTTTGAGCATCTGTCTTACATTGTTGAAGGTATAGGCCCATTTTCAATTTTGGAGTTTTATCCAATTCAATTCGACTTTTGAATCATGTCAAAGAAATAATGTTTTATTCCTATGCTCGCAGGGGCAAAGTAAGGACCAACAAATAGAATGGGAGAGAGTAGAGGTTGTTAAGATTGTGATTGTGATTGTTATTGTTCAAGGACCATCTAAAAAGTCCATAACGAAATGTTACTTATTTTATCCTAACTAATCTTAGACAAAATGAGTGAGAAATTTCAAAATTGCGACTTTTGTTGATTACCTGCATTTATATCAATATCAAAGTGGCCATGCGCCTCTAAAATATTAACTGATGTCACTCTCTGTGCATTTTGAGAATGTTAGTCTACTCAATTTTCCTCACTGCGACTTGTCAGTTTTGTTGGGTGAGGGTGTACAGATTCTTTAACCCCCCCTCCCCGGTTTTTCCAAACCCAAAAAGAACAATAAGAATTTTATGTTACGTGCAGTTGGTTTTATCCCACTTAGGCAACTAGACAGAAGATTAATTTTAAGACAGGAACCTTGTCCTCTTCCATTATATACTTAAGTAACTTTACTAGTTTCAAGTTGCAACACCCACTACCATTAATGTCAAGGAAGATTAAATGCATTGTGTACTTGGGGACATTATCAGATGCGCATGCATTTCTATGTTGTGTTGCATCAGATATCACTTGAATCATCTTATATTTGGCAAATGAACCTAGTGATAAAATAAATCTTACGATATTACAGAACCTTCTGTGTATGAGTACTTCTCCTTCTTACATGTTTCCATTTTCTGCTTTCTGGACCAGAGGTTGTCCGTATATTTTTTTTTCCCCATATTCTGTTTTCTGGACTGGAGGTTGTCAGTATATGGTTTTTATTTTGTGTTTACTTTTCTGCTCTGATTTACGTCACTGTAAAAATTTACTTGTGACACAAGGAACAATGAAAAAACTTGTTTGTAGACTGAGTGGACCAGAGAAGAAGATGAGAAACTGCTTCACCTTGCTAAGCTCATGCCCACACAATGGAGAACAATTGCCCCAATTGTTGGCCGTACTCCATCCCAGTGCCTTGAACGTTATGAGAAACTCCTTGATGCAGCGTGTGCTAAGGATGAAAACTATGAGCCAGGTGATGATCCACGAAAATTGCGTCCTGGAGAGATCGACCCAAACCCAGAATCAAAGCCTGCACGTCCTGACCCTGTTGATATGGATGAGGACGAGAAAGAAATGCTGTCAGAAGCACGAGCTCGGTTGGCCAACACCAGAGGCAAGAAGGCAAAAAGGAAAGCCAGGGAGAAGCAACTTGAAGAGGCCAGAAGGCTTGCTTCGTTGCAGAAAAGGAGAGAACTAAAGGCAGCTGGAATCGATACGAGGCATCGGAGGAGGAAAAGGAGAGGGATTGACTATAATGCTGAGATCCCCTTTGAGAAGAAGCCTCCTCCAGGCTTTTATGATGTTGCTGATGAAGATCGACCACTGGAACAACCTAAGTTCCCGACAACCATCGAAGAACTTGAAGGAGAGAGAAGGGTTGATATGGAAGCACGATTAAGAAAGCAGGATATTGCGAGGAATAAAATTTTACAGAGGCAAGATGCTCCATCGGCTATTCTGCAAGCTAACAAGCTTAATGATCCAGAAGCAGTTAGAAAGCGGCCAAAACTGAATCTTCCTGCACCACAGATGGGGGACCAGGATTTGGAGGCAATTGCAAAGTTAGGTTATGCTGGAGATCTTGCGGGTGAGGAGCTCACAGAAGGAAGTGGTGCAACACGAGCTCTCCTCGCGAATTATTCCCAGACGCCACAGCAGGGAATGACCCCTTTACGAACTCCACAAAGAACACCTGCAGGAAAGGGTGATGCTATTATGATGGAAGCTCAAAATGCGGCCAGGATGAGAGAATCTCAAACGCCATTATTAGGAGGAGAAAACCCTGAATTGCACCCATCTGATTTTTCAGGGGTCACTCCTAAAAAAATGGATATTCAAACGCCAAATCCAATGTTGACTCCTTCAGCAACTCCTGGAGGCATGGGTCTTACTCCTGCAATTGGCATGACACCGTCAAGGGATGGCTATTCTTTTGGTATGACCCCAAAAGGAACTCCCATGCGGGATGAGCTTCACATTAATGAGGATATAGAAATTCATGGTGGTGCTAAGCTTGAACGTCGAAGACAAGCTGAGTTGAAAGAGAACCTGCGCTCTGGTTTTAGCACTCTTCCCCAGCCTAAGAATGAGTATCAGATAGTTGTCCAACCTGTTCCAGAAGATAGTGAAGAGCCAGAGGAGAAGATTGAAGAAGATATGTCTGACAGGATTGCAAGAGAGAAGGCTGAGGAAGAGGCGAGGTTGCAAGCATTGCTAGGAAGAGATCAAAAGTATTGCAAAGGGAGCTCCCCAGACCTCCTGCTGCTTCATTAGAGCTAATTAAAAATTCTTTGATGAGAGCTGATGAAGATAAGAGCTCCTTTGTCCCTCCTACTTCGATTGAGCAGGCTGATGAGATGATAAGAAAGGAGCTTGTATCCTTGCTAGAGCATGATAATGTGAAATATCCTCTTGAAGAGAAAGTGGAAAAGGAGAAGAAGAAAGGAGTCAAGCGGGCTGCAAATGGAAAGTATGTTTCTGTCCCTGTGATAGAAGATTTTGAAGAAAGTGAGCTGAAAGAGGTACGTGTTTTGTTACAAGTATTCAAGTCATTGGGCTAGTCCATGCTCTAATATCATAACTACCATAAATGTTGTTTTCAGAATGATAATATTATTAAACTTAAAAACATAAACGTAAATGGTACAATGCCAGTCAAGGATGGCCAGGATATCCAGATCAAAGACCATATAAAAGAAACCAAAAACTGGAAGACCACAAACTAAATTCCGCATGCAGCTTTCCAACTCAATGTAATGCTAAACAGAGGAACATTTCAAACTCCTTAGTTACCTATGCCCAAAAGGAAGCCAAAAAGTAAAGCCAATTCCATAATCCTTCCACCTCCTCAATTCTATCCTCAAAGATCCTTTCCTTTCCAATCAACAACCCATAAAGTAGCATAAAAAGCACAGTCCAAGAGAAAAGAGAATCTTCCATCTTCTATTGCTTCCTCCAACCATAACATCTAAGCAAAACATAGATAACATAGTATTTGGTGGCACCCAACTAATTCTCATATGGTAAAACAAGTTATTCCATAGTGAAAACATGATGGGGCAATGTAAAAATAAGTGACCCACATTCTCTCTATTCTTTTTGCACATAACACACTGTTGTGGTTGAAGACAAGTTTTGGTTATTTCTTCTTTGAAGCATATCATAATTCATAAGTGTTAAACTTGGCATGAGCAATTATACATGCACAAACTTGCACTTGTTATGGCACACTAGCTTCCCAATCACCTTTGCTAGAGGAAACAAAGAAAGAGAAGGAGCATCAATTAAACACTCAAATAAGGATTTACATGAGAATACACTATAGAATCAATAGTCCAACATCTGTTATCCAAACAATTTTGGGTCAAAGAGACATCATTAAGCAAAGAAAGAAGGTCCACCAACTCTGTACACACTCTATCATTAAGGTTCCTACAAAACCCAAAATTCCATGACAAGGATATGAATAGGACCGAAAAAGGTTAAAACTTACCACCACCGCTTCAACACATTTATGTGAATGTTATGACATCCATCATCATATTCAAGTCTCAAACAACGGGGACATCAAATGTTGTCATTTAAAAAAAAAAACTGATGGAAACTAGCATGAGTCTTTATTGCACATAAAAGTACCGTGGGGGCTTCAAGTGTTTAGCTTTTCTTTTTCCAAAAATACCCATATTATTTCAAGATATACCTCCTATTTATGGGATTGACCTAAGTTAGCCTAGTTTTTTCGTTATTAGGCATGATCTTTTTAAGGCAACACACTTTTTCAGTTTTGTTTCTTTGGTTATTTTAGTTTGAGAAATTCTTGGCATAAAGACCTCAGAATTCCATGATGCTTTCTATTACACACCTATCTCAAAAACGGATTTTTCACTCTTGTGTGACAGGACATAAATTTATGAAAAATTTAGATGCTACTAAAAACCTAGCCATATACGCTAGGTTTAATCTTTGGGAATCATGTGGTCTCCATTTGTTGAACTCGCGTCTGAAATTATCATAATGTATGAATTTGGCTGAAGGCATATATTAGAATGTCTCTATGAGGAATATTTAACACCTTTACTTCATTAATTAAGCTACTACTCGACAGTCTACCACTACTTGAAACTTTGAAGTTTTATGTTGGTTAAAGTGGTTATAAGTTCTGTGGTAACAAGCTATCATAGATTCCTCCATTAATTCGGATACGTTTTGTGAGGTATATTTACTATTCTCTTAGTATAAATGTTCAAATTATGGAATGAGGTGATTAAAAATATGTACACAAATTATAGAGTGTTTACCTCTCTTTCTCTTTTTGCTACTTTTGTTGTCCTTGATCCATAAACATTCATTCATATAATGTCCTTAGGTGAGGTTGTGTCCTCTTTCTCTGTAGCCACTAAGGGTGTGCAAGAATCCGATTGGAGTCGGAGTCTGAAGGTCTATTCGAAAAAACTTTGATTCCAACTTTTATTAATTAATGGGTTTATGTAAATTATAAATTATATTATTACATATAAATATAAAATAGCAAAATATATAAAAAAAAAAATCTTATTTTGACCCCATATATTAAAGTATAAATTATATTATTACATACAAATATAAAATATAAAATATAAAATATAAAAACATAAAAATATAAGAGAGTCTCCACCCCTTAACCTTAAATTTCTAATGATTTCGTCTCTTGCTACTCCGTCTTCTCTGTGCCTCCACAGACCAAAGACCACTGTCTGCTTCCACTACTCCACGAGAACCACCACTCCACAACCCCCCTCTCCTCGACTCCCTAGCCACACCTAAATAGCGAAAGCCCTATTTGCAGCTTCGATCTGCTTCGATGAGGGAAGGCTCTTCGATTTCTATTTTTTTTTTCCCATCTGCACCGATTCAAACAAGTTTTACAAATATGTATATGGCGTGAAAGATGTATGTACATCTTTTTTTTTTTTTTTTTCTGTTCACTAGTGGAATCATTTTGGGGAAATCTATATCAGTTTAGCAACCAATAGAGCACCATATTTTCTTGTGGGTTATGTCTGTTAATTATTTTTTGGGGAAATCTAGAATTTTTTTTTTTGGAAAAATCTAGAATTTTTGTCTTTTGCGGATAAATTAGAAAATCATTGAAGTGGAAGATGAGGGAGATACCAAATGTGGGAGATGCTAAAGTGACCACAGTCCCCAATTATGGCCCAACTCTGAGAACTCCGGTCCGACTCCGCCAATTGGAATCGAAGCAGAGACGGAGGCGGAGGCACTAGGTTGGAGGCGGAGGACAAAAGAGACTCCGACTAAAATCGAAGTTGGAGTTGGAGTCGGAGCCCACCTCGAGTAGCCCCTAACCACTCATTATTGGATTTCATGTCCGAAAGAGAAGGAGATCATAGGAATCGCCCTCCAATATGCTTTTTTAGGTCCCTTGCCTCCAATTGACAATTATACTTCACTAACACAAGTACACTTATGTTTGCTGCTCCAAAGTACAAACAATTCCTGCTCTTAGAATGCACCTAGTTTCTGGACTTGAAATTGGTACAAATTAATACACTAAACTACTAAAGTATCTTACACTTTCATTTCATGACTCATACCGGATCAGATGTACTCCAATTTTCCCATTTCCCATAGCAGTTCAATTCCAGGTAATGATGTGAATGGTAAGTTGTTGCAATCCTGGAGAACCTCGTACAAACGATTCCCACACAAGGCTTTCAAAAGTAGAAGTACCTATTTTAAACATATGTGTAGTTTTAAAATCTAGCTAATGCTTTATTGCTTATCTAGTTGTTTCTTATTCCTCATTTGGATTGCCATGTGCATTCCAAACGTCTTTGCATCGTTAATGTCATCCAGCTGTCTATCAAAATTTTTCTCTGGAAGTAGGATTGAGGCACATTCTTTGACTAGTCTTGTAGAGCCCCATCTTTATCTTATGGTCCTCTTTAAATCAGCAGAGTAGTGAAATATATATTTGGTACTTAATCAATGTTAATCAATTGATAAATATACATGACATACACATTACATAACGTAACCTTATCTTGGATTGAGATAACAAGCAAGTTACATGAAAAGGTCTATGCAATAGTATGTGCCATCTTGTATCAATAATCTGCCATAGAGGCTTTTAATGCTTTTTTCACCCCACAATTTTTTTTTAATTCCTTTACGTTCTTTATTGCTTCGTTATCATATGCCATCATC